TCTTGGTGATCTGACGAAGTTACCTAGTTTGGCAATGAAATGTCTGCAAGAAAATAACTAATAACTGAGTACCAAGGTCCCCACAGTTCAACCCTGAGCTATTGTCATAATTCTGTGATTAAACTCTTGCTCCTTTTTATGGGCACTTGGATCACATAGTTGCTTCACCATATTGAGTTTTGATTCCTCTCTGCAGATGCTCCTTTATCTAAACATGGAATGAAACGAGGTTAAATAATGCTTGATGTGGAGCCATGCAATCAGCAGGAGTTGACTTGAGGCCATGTTTGCTAATCAAAATCAGCAGGCACCAAAGAGACCATGATTTAATTTGTACATATTTTAAAAAAACCCACTTGAATTCAATACGTTGTAAAAGCTAGAAACTCTGCTTATAGAGGCCACCTAGTCTGCTAGTTTTTGCTAGATTCCTGACTGATTCTAGATGTCTGAGTTACTCCATAGCATTTTCCTGAATGTTCCTTTTTAATAAGCTGTGGGAATCTTCTAATCTCTTCAGCCTTTGAGAAAACCCCAAAGAGGAAGACAAATGGAGGCCTGCAAACGAATGCCATCATGGCAGGAGACGTTAGCAGACAGCAGATCCTTGCTTTCTTCTTCTCTCACATTTATTCCCTTCGCCTCACACCATGCTTTATTATAGGTTGCACCATTGCAAAGATAATTTGTGACACCCTTGCTTGGGGCATCAACAGCACAGAACGAAGTTGGCAAGCAGAACAGAGGAAAAGGTCAAAATTCTTTTCAGGGGGGTGGGGTGAAAAGCAGGGGACAATTTAGCAGTGTGTGTTTTATGAAGAGTCAAATTAACCTTTTGAGACTCCGGAAATTTATTCTGACAAAAGTTTTGCTTCGGGATAAAGGCTGCAGCCTAGAGAGTAGAATGGGAGAAGACAGTTTTTTCTAGTTCTGATGGCCCCTGAAGATAAAGGACAGTGACTTGATTTTGCAGAAGAGAGGTTGCCCCAGTGCATTATAGGTATTGGAGAAGTCAAAGGCTGAAGATGAGGACTTTTGAGTTCCCATGTCCAAGGCAAGTGCAAGTAGATAATAGTTTTTTCTTCAGGTGTCACCAGCTTCTCTTTCTTTGGAATAATGTCCAAAGGTGCCACTTAAAACCAAAGGCAGCTGTCCAATGGGCCTCAATGCAGAATTACAATACTGTGGTTGCAACAATCCAAGTGACTACTAAACATCAGCAAATTGTTAGGTTAATGTATTTTAACAGAATAACAGAATTGGAAGGGACCTTGGATATCTACTAGTCCAACCTCCTGCTCAGGCAGGAAACCTTATACCGTTTTCAGACAAATGGGTGTTCAATCTCTTCTAAAAGACCTCCAGTAATGGAGCACTCAAAACTTCTGGAAGCAAATCATTCCACTGATTAATTGTTCTGTCAGGAAATTTCTCTAGTTCTTGGTTCTCTTATTAATTATTATTTTTTTATAAAGAAAATATTTATGGGCTCCATAAAATGTACTCACGGTGATTCCAGATAGCTTACAGAAGTCAGGCTATATAAACTAAAGCCACATTGGAAGTTAAAGACCAGTGAAGCTCAGAGTGACAGGTCCAAAGTCATGCTATTGTTCCAATATTGGATAGATTCAATTTGCAGCAGCTTTGTCCCAGATACCTACACCTCCCCCTCCTTACTAGAGGTTTAGATGGTTGTGAAATATTTCTCTTCAGAAAGGCAACTGGGGATGAGTAAGTACCTACTGAGAACTAGTTTGGTGTAGGCACCAAGGTAGGAAATGAGATTTGGAGTTCTTGTCCTTCTCTACAGACAAAATCAACTAGATGACTTTGGACTGTTGCCCTCTCTCAATTTAAGGAAGAGGTCAAGGGCAAAGCCACCTCAAAAAAAAAGTTTCCAGGGAAATTGCAGAATTTGTCGAGGCATTCGCCAGAAGTCAAAATTACTTGACATAAATAAATAAATAAGTAAGCAAACAAACAAACAAACAAACAGGTTTTCCTGAATGATGGCACATCAGATTGATGATTATTTGTAGTTTCCTTGTATATATATATGTAACAATTGCAATAGTATTCAGCCAGTAGATAGCAATGTTTACAAGTTTAGATCTAGGTATATACTCTATGCTCTTTTGTTCTAAGAAGAGTTTCCTGTGACAGTTAAGCAGGAAAGCACATGGTGACTGTACTCTTTGGCTGATTTATGATGCTATATAAAAACAGAATTTCTAACTTTATTAATTATTAATCAACATTTACTTTTCATTGTCTTATATTAATACTGAGAAGCACTCAGTCTTTGGAAATGGACAACCATAAAAATAGTAGCAATAGATAACGAGCTGGAGAAAACAGCACTTGCATCTTATTATAGATGGGTTTAGTAGCTTGGGCTAAACCCAGCCTTAATGGGATTTATTGAGTGCTTCATAGGTCTTCTAACTGAAAAATGCTTTGGACCTCCAGAAAAGTGAGTTGGAGAAATTCACCCAGAACATCCCACACCAACATTTGAAGAGCAGGACAAAGAACACAAAGCAGGCATAGGCTATATAAATATAGAGTCCTTTTAATTTATATTTGGTTAATAATTACAATAAATCTTTGACTACAGAAACAGAGCAGGTTCTTTTCAGTGCATACATACTTCAGAAAGACAGGACTGATTTTGGCAGAAGTTCTATGGAATTTGGAGAATAGGATTTTTGCCTAGTTTGTATCCCCCCCCCCCAAGTCTTGAATTTTCAGGCTTTTTGGCTAGTGATTCCTATTGCGGCACTTCCCCAAATGCTGAGCTGATTTTCAAGGGCATCTGGGGTGGGGTGGGGTGGGAAGGCCCCAAAGGTAAATATAATGGATACCACATTGCAATCAAAGACTCACATTTAACAAATGCAAGAGCTGATTATTAAATTTTCTGAAATGTTGCAAACCAGTTGGGGGCACAGCTGAGACACGATGCCCAGTGTACCAATTAGCTGTTCAGCCATTACAGGTAGTCCTCATCTTACAACTATCCTTTGAGTGACCATTTGAATTTATGAGGGCACTGTGATGCACCCTTCTTATCTGGCTCCTGTCAAGAAAACTCAATGGGGGAAGCTGGATTCGCTTAATGACTGACTCAATTGCAGTGATTCACTTTGCAACTGTAGCAAAAAAGATATGTGTAAAACTGGGTGTGGCTCGCTTAACAGCTGCCTTGCTTCACAACGAAAATTCCAATTGTGGTTGTAACTTGAGGGTTACCTCAGTGGTGGGTTTCCATTTTTTTTACTACTGGTTCGCTTGTGTGCATGTGCACACTTGCACAATGCTTCTGTGCGTGCGCATGCACAGAAGCGTCCCCGTGGGGGGGAGACTCTCCCGCTGCCATCACCACTACCAGTTTGCCCGATCCAGGCCGAACCGGCAGAAACCCACCTCTGCATTACCTGCATAGCAGCTGCAATAACTGCTTGTTAAACATTTACTGACAAATTAATGGTCCCACCACTTTTTTATGTGCAACGTGGGTCTTATAGCTGTGAAAAAAGAGCAAGGATTCAGTCTGCACAGGCCCGGGTGCCCTCTTGATGCCCAGAGCCCACAGCCTGCAGGAACTCCTGCCAGCAAAGCCAATTCTGTGACTTGTAATTCAACCATATTAAGAGGGCACCGGCTTTGGGAACGTTTGAGGAAAGCTGGTTCAGTATATAAAGAAATAACAGCATGAATAAAACAGAATTCCCTTGAGTAATAATGCAAGTTGAATTAATTATCCATGGTGGTGTTTAGGAATGCTTTGAAAGAAATATAGAGCTGCCTAATCAATTCTGAATATATTTAAACAAGTTTGCAAAGGCCTGCAGCCTTCTGAAGTCATAAAGAAATCCCTGAGTTGTATTTAATAACATCAAAATATACCTCTTTGGGCACCTAGTTATTTTTTTTAGACCACAGAAGTATCTTTTGTCCTTCAGTCTGATTCCCAACTCAAGAGTCATGTGACCCTTTTCACTCTTTTCAGAAAATGCAGTAACATCCAAACCCAAATTTCGACCATAAAAATCAAAATGCCCAAAACCGTAGGGAGGAGGCGATGCTGGCAAATCTCCCTTTTGTCTAACACCCAGATGGGTCACACTTGTGAACTGGTTCTGGCCTGCAAATAGAGGTGGGAGTTTTTGAAAAAAGACTCTTGGGTCAGAATTTCCTGCTCTTTTATAGTTAAAAAGGGATATACATAGTTAAATAAATGCAATGCATATTTATACTGAATTGGTTCTACGTAATAAACACTATGAACATAGGTTAAAATCCAGCCAAAATTGAGCAGTTTAGCAATCTTTTGTGGAAAGGAATGGCAGAAATTTGCATCTGTTCCAGTGGAAATCAAAGAAGTTGGTCAACGTAATCCCAGATGGGCTTAGTCAGAAGTAAGCACCAAGGAACACAAAGCAATTGGTTTCCTTTTCAATTTGCACAGGATTGCAGTCCAAAGAGGTTGATTTTGGCTGGGTTTTACTACATTTAGAGATATTTCAACATTATTAGAAAAATACTGTAATTAAATTAAGGGGCCAGGAGAAAGATGAGGAATAAAGAATATTAGTAAATAAAATATGAGGAATATAGATCCAATTCTGCTGATTAAAAGCAAAATAAAATTAGTCTTATCTATGCAGTTGAAAAATCACATCCATGCAGAGATCCTTGGCAGAGAGCTCAAATGGGCCTTTGGTCTTTGGAAGAGGCAGAGGACATCCTTTGCCCCCAAAAATCCAGCTCAGAAAAAGCTTCTGGAGTTCTCTCTGAGCTTTAGGTTCAGTGCTTAGAAGTCCAAAAATGTCCCCTGCCAACACGAGGGGTCTGCTCAGGGGCATATTTGATATGGAGAATGAAGTGCAATGAGTAAAGGGACATGTTGGGAAGGGAGGGAAGAAAGGGGGAAAGGAGGGAGAAAGGAAAAGAAAGAATTGGATGGAAGGTGAAGGAAGAAGAAAGAAACAGATGAAGCGGAAGGAAGGAAGGAAGGAAGGAAGGAAGGAAGGAAGGAAGGAAGGAAGGAAGGAAGATCTTCCTTCAACTGCCTTTAGAGTTCCTGTTTGTGATGGCTATAAGTGCCACTGATCTTAACAGACAGAGAAATAGCTGAGACTTGCAGCAGCCCCATCTTCAACAGCCTAGCAGCATCCATTTTTCACTGGGAGAGCTTAAGAACCCCTTCTTCCCCCTCAAGAGCCTTGGAACCACATCCCCAGGGAACCCAGCTCTGGTACTGCCTACTTTAGAAATGTGACCCTTGACATGAAGTTGGAATCTTGTTTTGGCTCCCAAGCTGATTGATCCAAGGAGCAGACTCCTGGCTGGGAAAATGTAGCAGTGGCAAGAGTTATGCATTTCCCTAAACCACGGTGTGCTTTGGCTTCGCCTACATGTGATTTGTTAATCTGGCTAACAGATCTTGAGTCACCTGTGTGTGGTTGGGATGCCAATGACTGCCTTCTCAAAAATTTGAAAACGATTTGGAAAAATGGCTTTCTTTCTAGATACAACAAATGGATCAGCAGCTTCACAACTGTTTGTTGTCCTTCTGTTTCTTTAAAAGGTCTGACCTTCCAAAATCACCAAAGAAAGCTTTTCCAAGCTACACTGACTGGGGGATTCTGGGAGTTGAAGTTCACACATCTTAAGCCCATGTTGAGAAACACTACTTTAGTCCTTCTTAACTTTTAACCTACATATGTAAAAAAAAAAGGCGATAGATTTGGCTGGCAGCAGTATTTCCCTGACTGTTTGGTTATATGACTATTGCTTTTTACAGTCAAAGTTTTTAAGGCATTGCAGTCACACTTTCTTTGGTCCTAGTAACTTACTCAAAGACTTAGCATATATAAGCAAAACTTTCTCATGCTAACTTCCATTCCTGTGTCAGAGAGTAAGGCACAGAATCAAGGGCCTGGGGTGGGTGAGTGTTGGAAAGTAATTTTTAAAAAGTTCCAGAAGGTGGTCAGGACTACCTGAGCAAAGCCTGACCACCTTGATTTTTTGAATATCCTTCTGTCCCCAACATCTCTGCACAGAATCCAAATTAATTTGCCCCCAGGTGAACTTGGAACATCTGAGAATATGCGAGATGTAGGTTATACTGTCCTTTTCCCACTGATCCTATGACTAAATTATCGGCAAATTAAGGGCTTTTCAAAGCAAGCCTCTGCTTACTGTAACCTCATTGCTTCTTACAACAGAGAGAGGGAAACAGGCATGCTCCTTCTCCATGCTTAAGTGACGCTCGCTGCACTTCAGAAGGGTTTCTCTTGCAATCCATTAAGCAGAAAATATTCCTAGCTTAAGCGTAGCAGCTTTAGGGTCTAGAGAACAAGCTTCTATATTCACAGTTTCATGGGGTCTGACTTTCCTGGCCACTAAAACACCTGAGATTTTTCTTTCCTGTGCTATATTTTTTCATTATTATTGCATTTAGTTGTTTACACTGTTGTACAACAAGCAAAATTATCTACATGGAATCTTTCTCAACCTAGCTCTGCAAGTTGGTTGCAGCTAAATATAACTTGCAGTTTGAGGGAGTCTCTGTGCATGTCTCAGTAGGTCTGTCCTGGCAGATTGCTTTAGGTTCTGCCATAAATCTGAGTTCCAGGATAGGTTTTGATCTCTATACATAAAATATGGAGGATAATTATCCCTGGATAACAACCTCAGTGTTTAGAATGGAATTTCCCTAGCAACTTTTAACAGGGACAAAAAAAAGGGGGGGGGGAATTGGTGTGCAGTCCAGAGCTTTAAGAGAGCAAACCCCACTGAATAAAAGGTTGACTGTAACAACCGCAGCATTCAGAAAACATCAATGCTTGGAGAAGGTAAAGAAAGAAAAGCCAGAGAGCTTGAGAGGCTCTTAAAAGAATTCCCACTTGCCCTTGCACACTGGGGCTTCCAGGTCTGACTTCTCCACTTAGGATGGGATTTCTCTTAAGCAAGAAGAAGGCCAGGCACTGGCTTGGAACTCTGCATGGTCAGAGAGGCAAAACCTGGCAGTCCCCCCAGGGCTGGATGGCTACACGGGAGGAGCCGAGTATTGGATCACAGAGTTATAATCAGGAGGTGGGCTGTGACATTCCAAGCTGGCTTCCATCGGCAGGAGAATGGAGTCTTCCATCAGGTCATCCTCCACTGGAACGCTTGGGCGGAACTTCACGGACTCTCGATCGGGCTCGCTGAACACAGATTCCTTGTTTTTGTTGATCGCTTTCCTCCTGTGAGAAGAGCCAGAAGAAAACCACTAAGTTGGTTTCAAACCCCACAGGAAGTCACAATGCGGTGTGCTGTAAGGAATTTAAGTAAGGCTTTTTAAAACCTCATTTAGGTACCTAATCTGGGACCATCTGGATGTGTTAGAATGACTCTTGCACACAGAAACCAGTCTTAAATGACTGGTTTCTGTGTGCAAGAATCATTCTAACACATGTCTCCAAAAGCAGATTCTGAATCAAAAGAGTTTGAGAACTGCAGAGGAAAAGGCTGGATGCCATGGAAAAAACATGGAGAGATACAACGTTGGGTCAGCTGTTCAGAAAGGCGAGAATCGAATGAAATGTCAGCAAATACAGAATGTTAAAAAGATGCTGGAGGGTTTTAATTTCAGAGGATGTTATCTCTGGAGAAAGGAATATTTTTAAGAACTAATTGCATTTCATGTCTGCCAGAGGTGGTCAATCACAGGACCTGGTTTTGATCAAGCTTGTCATCCCTTTGACTGGAGAGTAAATATTCAATGCCTTTGTTTAAAAGGCTCTCTTTAAACATGAACTGACAGGTGCTGTCATGCCTAGATGCAAGGTGGTAACTGAAGATGGTGAGTGTACACACACACACACACACCTCCTTAGAAAGGCATATAATCTTGTGATCCTCCAAGGCTACAGACAGCTACAAGTTGTTGGTTGTCCCTGGGTTTGCATTTTGCAACTAAGTTGACGGAGTGATTCAAAGTTAATTGGATTCACGTGACACCAAGACTAAAGTATAAACTGGGGTCTCCAACCTTGGCTGGCTGGGGAATTCTAGGAATTGAAGTCCATCCATCTTCAGGTTGCCAAGATTGAGAAACTCTGCTCTGGACATCCATGCTATATAAACCATGGTTTATAAACTTCAGTGACTAGTGCATGATGTGTTTCTTTTAATCGGTTTTCTTCTGTTTGTTTTTAACCCTTCTTTTTAAAATTTATTTTCTGTAAGCCGCCCAGAGTCCTTCGGGATTCGGCAGCCTATAAATTGAATAAATCCAATCCAATTTGCCAACAGTATATGGCATAGAGGCGAGAAAGAAACGCAGAGGAATTTGATTTCACTTTCTTCTCTGATAGACATCAATCCCTTTCAAGGATTGATTTTATACTAATCACTAATGATTTGCTTTTTTGGGTGAAGAAGACAAAGATTGCGGCTAGGGTCCTTTCAGATCATAACCCAGTTTGGATGGANATAGCAATAGCAATAGCAATAGCAGTTAGACTTATATACCGCTTCATAGGGCTTTCAGCCCTCTCTAAGCGGTTTACAGAATCAGCATATCGCCCTCACAGTCTGGGTCATCATTTCACCCTCCTCGGAAGGATGGAAGACTGAGTCAACCTTGAGCCGGTGAGATTAGAACCGCTGAACTGCAGATAACAGCCAGTTGAAGTGGCCTGCAGTACTGCACCCTAACCACTGCGCCACCTCGGCTCAACTTTGAAAAACTACAGGAGGAGGCAATGGCAAAGCTCTTCCAGACTGACCCATGGAAACTTAATATCAAGTGCAAGAAATTACAAGATATGGTGGTTTAAATGACCACAGGTTTATTGCATACTAATACTCTCAAAAAGAATCCGAATTACTAATGGTCAAAGGTAATAGATAAACAAGTCAGCGGACTTCAAGAGGGGGCTGGACTTAGATCTCTTTCAGGGGTTTAGAGACTGATGATTCAAATGGAAAGAAAGGGAAGAGTTGGAAGGGATCTTGGAGGTCTTCTAGTCCAACCCCTATTCAAGCAGAAGTCTTACACCATTTCAGACAAGTAGTTGTCCAATCTTTTTCTGAAAGCCTACAGTGATGGGACACCCACAACCTCTGAAGGCAAAATGTTCCAGTGGTTGATTATTTAACCTTTTGATCCCATTGTTTGACCATTTCATGCTGCCCTGGTTGTCTCCTACAATTGCTTTGAAAAAGAAACATTTCTCCAGCTAATATTTGCTGATGTTCCTTCCACACGTTTCTTCCATCAAGCAGAGGAAGCTGGACTGTTTCATGAGATGCTTTTCCTTCCTTTCCATTTTGCATTTTAGTCTTGAAGAGCTCTCTGCCATTCCTCCCTCCCCACTTCCTCATTCCTACTTGCAGAGTATCACTTAGGATCAAGGAAGGCAACCAATCACTCTAATTAGGACCAATCATCATATTCACCCTAGGGCTCTTTACTCAAGTTGGATGCAAAATTAGCAGCAAGAGTCAGCCAGGAAGGAAAGAACCGAAGCGGGACTAGGAAAATTTGCTGCTGGTGTGACCACATTACAGGCAGAAGAGATGCTTGTTTGGGTGTTTTTGGAGAAAATAGATAGAAATAGACATCCATTGCTTTCCATCACTTGACTTTGTGGTCATCCTGGGTCCATTTTTCTCACCAGCAAAAACCTAAATGCTCACACTCTATTTTCCAGAGCACCAGAAGGCAGGACAAGAAGCAATGGATGGAAACTTACCAAGGAGATATCCTAGAACAAAATTCCCTGACAATCAGAACAATCAACCAATGGGACAGAAGTTGCCTTCAGAAGTTGTGGGTGCTCCATCACTGGAGGTTTTTAAGAAGAGACTTGACGGACATTTGTCTGAAATGGTAGAGGGTCTCCTGCTAGAGCAAGGGATTGGGCTACAAGACCTCCAAGGTCCTTCCAACTCTGTTATTTTCTTTTCTGTTTCTTTTCCATTTTCTGCTCAGATTAGTACACAGACTCTGCCTCATCATTTTTTTGAAACTGAAGCTGAAACCCAGAACAGAGTTTCTCAATCTTGACAACTTGAAGATGTGTGGACTTCAACTCCCAGAATTCCCCATGCTGGCTGGAAGAAAAAGATGAAGGGGAAAGAACTAGTTGCACCCTTTCTGGTTAACACAGGTTGTTAATTGTTGCAGATCAGGAATGCTTCTTCCTCTTAATACAATTTGTTAGTGAGAGATGGGGTGACCAGATTCCTAATTTTCTGTCCCGAATAGGTTAACATGACTTAAAACCTTGTTAGTGGAAGGGATGAGGTGCCCATACCAAGGAATACCCAAATTGAAATTTAAATGTAGTTCATAATTCAATTTTGAAAAAACAGTGAGCGGATCCACAGTAAGCTACAGTTTGTTTAACCTTGGTTTCTTCAACAATCCACAGTTGAATGGGACTGCACACAGGTGAAACCCAAGCAATACAAATCATATTCACATATTATGTAATACTGTATATAAAGTGAGCAAGAAAGAGGTTGTAGAGACACAACAGGAAACCAAAGAAGGCGGAAGGATTGGATTCATACAACAGGGCTGAGGTAGGTCGAAGAAAGGTTATACAGGTATTCCTCGTCTTACGAAAATTTGTTTAATGACTATTCAACATTCCAATGGCACTGAATAAAGTAATATGACCATTTTTCACACTTATGGCCATTGCTGCATCCCCAGGGTCACATGATCAAAATTTGGACGCTTGGCAACTAGCATGTATATATAACCATTGCAGTGTCCTGGAGTCAAGAGATCCCTTTTGTGACCTTCTGACAGGGAAAGTCAATGGGGAAGCCAGATTAACTTAACAACCATATTACTAATTTAATAACTGCATTGGTTCGTTTAACAACTCTGGCAAGATAGGTTAAGAAATGGAGCAAAACTCACTTAATTGTCCCATTTAGTAATGGGAATTTTGGGCTCAGTTGTGGTTGTAAGATGAGGACTACCTATACATTCATTCAGTGACCATTCAAAGTCACCTACAAAGCTGAAACTTGGGTTACCACCATCGTCCCATGTCCTTTTCCTGTTGTTTGTTCTGCCACCTTCCCCTTCCTTCCTTCCTTCCTTCCTTCCTTTCTGTTTTACCCCCTGTTCCTTCCTCCCGTTCTTTCCCCCCCCCCCCTATTTTTAGACTGTGATCTGCAGGGAGACAGGAAGCCCAGCTTCATATTTATTTATTACTTTCCTTCCCCAATCTGCTCAGACTCCCTTCCAGATGTTTATCACCCCCAGTCTGTGAATACATTTGATGGGGGATTGGAATAGACCACCTTCATTGCTTCCAGTTTGTTGAAGGATTAAATCCATAGCTCTGACCTGCTTGATACTTGCAAATATTTGTGAACAGGACTCACATATCACCCAACTTTGCTTCTGGGAGATGCTAAATAAGGATGGTCTGTAGGGAGGGGACAGAAAGGAAAAGATGGTGCCTGTGACCCCCTGAAGGCAGGACAGATGGAAATTATCCAAGGAGAGAACAACTAACCAGTGGAAGGACTGCCCTCCAGAAATTGTGGGTGCTCCACCACTGGAGGTTTTGAAGAAGGGATTAGACAATCATTTGTCCTGAATGGTTTAGGGTCTCCTGCTCAAGCAGGGGTTGGACTAGAAGACCTCCAAGGTACCTTCCCAACTGTTATTCTGTTATTGAAGTTTTGCCCCTTTTCTATTGGGACCAAACTTGTAAAAGGGGGCAGGATTTCAATTGCACAATCACACCTGCTACCTTTACTTTTTTAGGGATTGGTGGAAATTTTTCTGATGCTCTGGTGGGCTAAGGAGAGAAGAGTCAGATCACTTTACCAATAATCTGTCTAGAGAAGGATTGTCAAAAACAATATCTACATTTATTGCTGATTGAAAACCTCTTAGGGATATTTTGAGTAAAAATAAAAATAAAATTAGCTTGTGATTTATGATTTTGATGATTAGACAGGATGCATCATAGAAAGAAGAGAGTCGGGATGAAACGTTAGAGACAGAGGTTAAAATATAATTGTATTTTTAACTCCTGTGAAGAATATCAGAAGCTACTGCTTTACAACTTTATCTCTTTTTTCCTACTTCCTTGCAGAAAACGCAACCTCTTAACAGAATAACTGAATTGGAAGGGACCTTGGAGGTCTTTTAGTCCAACCTTTTGCTAAAGCAGAATACCATTCTAAACAAGTGGCTGTCCAGTCTTTTCTTAAAAGNGTGTGTGTGTGTGTGTGTGTGTGTGGTGTAGTTGACATAAGGACCAAATTTTCTGTCTATGCATGTGAAAGCAAGATACCAGGGGGAAAAAAGCATTGTGATAATCATCATTTTTGCTCTTCTCTGCGCTCTTTCTAGAGTCTCAACACTTTTGTATCCTGGTGAACAAAATGAGGCACAGTATTCCAAGTATGGTCTGACCAGCGCAGTATATAAAGCGGTACTGACACTTCTCATGATTTTGATACTGTCCCTCTATTGATGCAGCCTAAGACTGCACTGGCTCTTTCAGCAGCTGCAGCATACGGCTGGCTCATATTTAAGCCACCTGGTATGTTCTTAGGAATAAAGGAAACAGACGGTAAGAGGTCAGATAGTTGGAGAAACTTCAAAAATACAGTGGAGGGACAATTTAGTTTCCACTGCTATCCACCTTTCCTTCCGGGTACTTATTTTGCACTATAAAAAAACATAGATTTCCATTAATTCCTTTGGAGATGCTGAAAAAAAGAGATGTGTCACCACTTCCATCACATCCAGAACTTTTAGGGCTCCTCTGAGGGCTCCTTGTTATGATGAGATCAATGGCTATGCTTCATTGATTGAACAAGGCAACATAGGGACAGTTTTGCCATTTTACAGGCTATCCTAGACTTTTCAGTAGACATATTTTCACAGTCTACAAATCTGGGCTTTCACATCTATTAGTGCCAGTCAAGGAACAATCACTGACTCTTTCAAAACACGAGAGAAAGAGGAAACAAAGAAAGAGCAGAATGAATCAATAAGATGGTCATTTCTGGTTAGGAAAAGGTTTTTCGTTGCTTGGAGTTGCTTCCTTACCTTGCTTCTATAGCACTCCAGCGGTGAATGAAGTTGCTCACGTTCTCTTCCAAGATGCAGAGCTTGGGGTTGGACTCTCCTTCAGGACACAAGGTGATGTTCAGTGGGATATAGTCTTTCCCATCCTTGGGAAAAGAAAACAGGGGAAGCTTAAGCTTCTTTTCCTTACTTATTTCAGAAATCATTAACGGTCACATTCCTCTAATTCTCTTAGGAGATCCCTTTACCTGAAGCCTTCAGGAGATAAAAAATTTCATTTTCTGGGACGCAGCAGTAATATTTTGGCAAGGTACCAGCAATGATATTTTGTCCAGCTTCCACTTATCTCTGAGTATTTCTAAGGTTATCAAGAAAGTTTCCAACTGGCCCATTGGCCCAATGTCACCTAGTTGGCTTTGTGCCTAAGGCAAGACTAGAACTCACAATCTCCCGTTTTCTAGCCTGATGCCTTACCCAAACTGGCTGAGATTTCATATTTGAAGCCTTAATCCAGATGTTCTACATTCCAGCTCTCATCATCCACAACTAGGGGTGATGGGAGTTATAATCCAAGAATGTCTCAAGGGCCACAGCTTATGTACGCTGCCTAAACTACTAAATTTCTTTGCTTCCTTTCCCTTGTGGTTCCTTTGCTCAACACTTATCTGTGTACCAAAATCTGTTAATCTTCCAAGGAGTCGAATGTGAAGAAATAAAGCTTAGACTAGTGAGGATAGAACATAGAATTATAAGACTGGAAGGTACCTTGGAGGTCTTTTAATCCAACCCTCTGCTCAAGGCAGGAGACCTTATGCCATCCCAGTCAAATTGTTGTCCAGTCTATTCTTGGAACCTCCAGTGATGGAGAACCCACAACTCCAGGAGACAAGCTGTTCCATCGATTAATTATCCTTACTATTAGCACTGTTCTCCATACTTCTAGGTTGAATCTCTTCTTAAGAACCCATTGCTTATCTTGCCCTTAGATTCTTTGGAGAATCAAACAATCATCTTCTCTCTGGGACAGCCTCTCAAATACCAGAAGACAGTTATCATGTCCTCCCTAATCCTTCTCTTCAATCAACTGTTCAATGTTCTTGAGATCAAACTGAAGATGTAGAAGAGCATCATGTTCAACTGGAGACATGGAAGCCCATCCTAGCACCTACATAATCCATATGTTAGCCCATTGAGAAGAAATTCAGAACATTATGTCACAAACTAATTATTTTTTGCTATGTTTCTTTCATATTATTTAAATACCAGCATTTCTTTAGCTGTTTGCAACACTCTTAAGAAACCATGTCTGGCCCTCCTTATTTACACAATTATAAATCTTGTCCTTTTAAAGTCTAACTTTTGGGAAGTCTAACTTTTGAAGTTGAAACATTTTCCACCCAATTGGGACAATTCTCTTGTACTTTACCTGCTGTACATTTGCCTGGAGCAGATCCCCTAAACGTTCCACAAGGTTGGTAAAAGTGGGCCTCTCTGTTGGGATGCTGTGCCAGCAGTCCAGCATGGTCTGGTAGCTGCAGGGAATTAAAAACATGGTGGCTGAATTTTAAAACTGACAAAGAGCCATTAATTCATTCTTCTACCAGGTTGTCCTGTGCCCTGATGGGCCATCATAATTATTTTTTTAAGATGAGGGAGGAGCAACAGATAACATTTCAGTCCAAATGTCCACTTGGGGTGGCACGAAGTTCTTTCTTAACAGCACGGCTTTGATGCATTAACTCAGGCAGGCAGTTCTGTAGTTCAGGTGTGCCCTGGAAAGACCCACTGCCTTTAAAAAGAATGCGGTGTTATTATTAATTTAATGTATCAGCAACCCAATTCCCAAACAATTCTGGTGTCCCTGAGGATTTTACTCCACTAGTTGCTGACTATAGGGGGCGCTGCTCACCTCCCTTTCAAGGCCACATGCTGTCTGAAGGTATTTCCAGGGTCACGTGGCCAGCATGACATCACAGAGCGCTGTTACCTTCCCACCCAAGTGGTACCTGTTCATCTACTCGCATTTCATTGCTTTGAACCTCTAGGTTGGCAGGGGCTGGGGCAAGAAACAGGAGCTCACTCCATTGCATGCTGCTCGGGTCTTGAACCTGGGCTGCCAGCTTTCCAGCTAATAAGCCCAGCATCTTAACTGTGAGACATCATGCCACCTCCCCCAACAACTCTGGACAATCTATTATTAAATATTGAATGAAATTTGTATCCAGTTTATCCAAATGTTTTCAGGGGATTATTTAAAACAAAAAATTATTGCCCGTTGTGTCTGGCCTGGACTGAGAAATCCCAAAGCTGAGCTAATTAGTGTGAATGAAGCTGGATGTAAAGACTTAGTTCCTAACTGTAGATTCTGGAGTTGCTTCATACACACAGCATTTTGTGGGTACTGAGTCTCTAGGAAGAGATTTATCTTGGAGCAGAAGGAGATGTGGTCGAAGGTATCAGACCGCCCTCAGAAGAAATAAAGGTTCTTGAAGAAGTCAAGGCACACTTCTTGTTCTGGATTTGTGGAAAATATGAGGGAGCAGAGCAACAATATAAAGATATCTAGAAATGGATGGGGAAGCTTACATTTCTGAAGTGGAGTACTCTGGAGACCTCATCCGGGTTCCTTCTTTGAGACGTCGACAAAAGTCCTCATCAATCTGGACCCCTGGATATGGAGAAGCCCCTGTAGGGATAAACATGGAGCAATGATGTCCATTCAAAAATATAGTGTTATTATGTCTCTTCCAGAGGTTCTATAACCCTAAGGGAAAGGAGTCTGTGTACCGTATGTATTTGTGTATGCAATGCAGCGAATTCTGCTTCCTTGATCATGCACTGATTACCGTTAGAAGTTTGAGATCTCTCTCCTCATCAGAGGCATGGTGTCATGATCTTTAGGAATAATTAAAAATGCTAATGCTTAGAATTTGGCTGGAACAACTTATTGCACATCCTATTTTGGCTTTCATTAGTTGTAGAAGAAAGAGAATCTCAGAGCAGGCCTTCTTTAGTTACATTGTAACTCCAGAGCAAATGTTTGCTCTGGAGAAGATTAAGGTATTTCCTAAAAGCCTTTGGCTGTGAAGTCAGGGACAACTGCAGAAGTGGTGGGTTCCAGATCCAGGCCTGGCATTGTCCAAATGGATGCGCGCACTGTATGCATGGGTCTTGCCATCCTGAGACACCTCCACCACACTCCAGTTGCTCAAATGCCGCCTTAGCCATGAAAGATGGCAGGGGGTCTTTGGGCCAATCACCAAGAGACAATGAGTTCTAGTCCCCCCTGGTTGAGGGACTTTGGGTCAGTCTCTCTCTCTCCCTCTCTCCCTCTCTCTCTCTCTCTCCCTCCNAAAAAAAAGAAAAAGAAAAAAAAAGTATATGGCATAGAGGAAGGCAAGGACACGTGCTGTTTGTAGCACCCCTTGGATTTCATGTATAAATGAATTGAGAATATTCTATCCATTATTAACCAATTATAAAATTTTTGCCATAGATTTGCTTGTCATAGTAACAAATTGCTCAATTTGTTACTATAACAGGTAAATCTATGGCAGAATTTTTATAATTGGTTAATTCAATTTCCTTAAAGGTTACAGCATGCCATTTCCAAAACAAGTTCTCAGAAATGAGATATGCTGATGTTGGGAAACACTCAGCCTGGCAGGGAGGAGGGATCAAGCATAGAGATAGTCTGGAGTCCCTGTCCAACTGTCAAAGGGCCAGAAATGGGCTTCCCTGAATTCATTGGAGTCTTATCTAATTGTTCCCAAGAGAAAGCTGCCAGAATGGGGAGATTCCTGTATTATAGGCACAACATAATAAAGTAGTTAGTTTGAACTCTGCAGGTATGGGCCTGGTTAATAGAATAAGAGAATTGGAAGGGACATTGCAGGTCTTCTACTCCAAACCCCTGTTCAAACAGGAAACTTTATAACATTCCACACAAATGGTTGTCTAATCCCTTCTTAAAAACCTCCACTGTTGGAACAACCACAACTTCTGAAGGCAACCCATTCCACTGGTTAATTGTTCTCGCTTTCAAGAAATTTCTCCTTGTACGGTTCTCTCCTTGATTAGTTTCCACCCATTGCTTCTTGCCCTGCCTTCTGGTGCTTTGGAGAATAGGCTGACCTTTTCTTTTTGGCAGTCCCTCAAAAATTGGAACACTGCTATCATGTCACCCTGAGTCCTTTTTCCCATTAAACTACTAGACATACCCAATTCATGCAGGTGTTCTTCATGTTTTTAGCTTTCAGTCTCCCAATCATCTTTGTTGCTCTTTTCTGCACATTTTTCAGAGTCTCTACATTTTTTTTATAATATGGTGACCAAAACTGGATGCAGTGACAAAACTTTATTATGGTCACAAAAAGTGACCATAATAAAATAGCTTGAAATCTGCAGGTGTGGGTGGGGCCTGGTTGTTTGCAAGAGACAGCTGACTAAGTTTTTACTCTTATCACTTCTTTACAGTTTTCATAGTTGGCATTTCTAGTCCACCAGCATCACATGCCACAGCTGGTTTATATCTCTCCAAAAATACAGAAAGATAAAAAGAGGCCATCTATACACCACTGCATGAAAATGCTTAATTTGATGGACTAAGTCTTTACAGGGATGCTATGTAGACAAAAGTCTAGGTTGCTGTAAGCTCCTGTTCAAGGAAAGAAAAAAGCCAAAAGATTTAGCTGTTTCAGACAGGTTGAATCTCCAGTTGAGTGAATGTAAACTTCATCAATGGTCCAGAGAAGAAACACCTAAACGGAAACTATCCTGCAAAGGTGACAACCAAGGCATCAGATTTTTGGAGTTTGGTCCAAAAATTAACATTAACATTAACATTAATGTACTGTAATTAATAGGAGGGATATGGGCGATCCTTTGCAGGGAAGGGCTGAGGACTACGTCCAATTCCTGGCGGACAAAGTTGCTCGGTTTCGGGCGGACCTGGACTCCACTTCTGCAGAACCAGCCGAGGCACTAAGGGATAATCTGGNCCTGAGTCCCCTCAGTGAAAAGGGCGGCATACAAATAAAGGAACTGAACTGAACTGAGATGGGCGGCCAACAGCTTTTACAAATAAATACCTTTGCTCAAGCCCAACCCCCACTTGGACAGAACAAAGCCTCTTTCCCTCTGAAGTTCTTAAAGAAAGTGGGCCACAGATCTTACCTTGCATACAATGAAATCACCTCGTTTTCCCCGCAGATAATTAGAGAGATTTCCATACTTGCAATATTCTACAATGACCATCAGAGGACCTGCAGACAGGATCAAACAAAGTTTATGAAATGATAACACATGGGGACGTTGTAGGAATAAGCAAAAGCAAGTAAACGTCTCTTTTGCAAAGACGGAAGAAACGGGCAATGGATAAAAGAGGAATGAATCCAAGGTCAGAAAACTGGGGCCAGGAAGTGAGAAGCGAACATTGGCTACCGGCCATATTTTCTGTTTAATGGGACAGACACCAGCTTTTACTGGCTGATGGGTGTTTGTGCAGATGTTACATCCCTCCCTGCTACCCCTGTTAGTGATCCAAGGTCTTGCAGTTTGTCTCTCCATCCTTCTGAACATGTCTCCTTGCCCCACAAACAGCAGTTATCTGATTAATTAGCACCATTAGTTGCGATCAAAGACATCCCCGTAACCATTAATCAAGGACTAAGCGCTTGGCCCAGATATGAGAGCTATTTAGTTTCAGGCATTACTGACTTCCTTGCTGGCTTTCCCACATCAAACCATGAAGTAAATCTGAAGAACCAACACAATGGAATGTTATGTAGAAAGACACACGGGTTAAGGATCACGGGTTCTGGAAATGAGGCCCTCAATGAAATGGTCCAAAAGAACAAGCTCCGCCTCTTTGGGGCACACCTGCAACATCACAACGCTCATTCAGAAGGATTGATCCGTGCATTGAAATGGCACAAGGGTGAATATTTACAGCTCAGGGTTGAAATGAGGGGTTCTTGGTGCTCTCTGAGTGTGACTGTTTCTTGCAGGCCTTCCATTACTCAAGCTAGGTAACACCATCAGTGCTAGAAGGGAGTGGAGTTTGCAGAATGGAGGAGAAGGAGAGAAGGAGAAGAATTTTGAGATCTTTAGGGCTTTCTGAGCAAAGCTATTTTTTTCTGTAACATGTAAAGAATGATATCAAATGAAAACAATCTTGGTCCCCCCCCTCCCCATTTTAGTTCCCTTTTTAATTGTTCTTGACTTGTCACAGTGTTAAAAATGTTGTTCATCCTGGCTCTGAATGTTGGACTTGGGAACTTAGTTGAAACTCAATCTGACTTTGGGCTAGTCACTTCTGACAGCTTAATTTATTATGGAAGAACACAGTGAAGGTAAAATGGATGGAGGTGGGAAAGGAGCATGCTGAGCTCTTGAGAAGTAAGTGAGATATAAATATAATCTCCCCACCCTCTCCCTTCTTCTCATATTGACAAGAACTTGCTTTTTCAACAGTGGTCAGCAGAGATCCAATAACCCCCTTGGTGATGCCAAGATCAAAGCTAACATATATTCATTCTTTCATTTATTTATTTCTGCACTGCCTTGGAACCTCATGGCTCAGGGTGGTTTACATAATCAATCAAAGCAAATCAAATGCAACTAGAGTTACAAAGGCAACTCAGGTTTACCATCTGCCCCAAAACTCTCTTTGAGGAAGACGGGTTTTCCTCTTTACAGAAAGCAAGCAAAGTGGTGGGTCACCTCTATTCTAATGGTAAAGGACATTCTACAATGGAGTCATCTTTCCATCCCCGTATTATCACCAAGACTTAAATGTCCTTTTTTGGTGTTTTCAAGTCAGCCTTGATTCCTAGTGACTGCTTGGACTAGAACTTTTCTTGCCAACTTTTCACAGGTGGCTTGCTATTGTCTCCTTCTTAGGGTTGAAAGTGACTGGAGCAATGTCACCCAACTGGCTTTGTATCTAAGACAGGAAAAATCACAGAGTCCCCTGTCCCAACTGCAGAGTTAACTACAATATTTATTTACTTAATCCATACAATGCCTAAATCCAGCAAATTGTTTTCCCCCCTATCCTATTTATTTCCTATCCAATCAATATTTCAAAGTGGGGTCTGGAGTCATGTTATAGTTGTATGGGAATGGATAAAGAATAGCAGAGCTGGAAGGAACTTGTCTTCTCATCCAACCCTCTGCTCAATCAGGAGACTCTATACAATTTGAGACAAGTGGCTGTCCAGTCTCTTCTTAAAAGCCTCCAGTGATGGAGCTCCCATAACTTCTGAAGGCAACTTCTGTTCCACGGGTTAATTGTTCCCATAGTCAGGAAATTTCTCTTTGGTTCTAGGTTGCTTCTCTCCTTGATTAGTTTCCATCCATTGCATCTTCTCTTGCCTTCTGGTTTTTGGGAAATAAGTTGACTCCCTCTTTTTTGTGGCAGCCCCTCAAATATTGGAATACTGCTAACAGCCCACTTGTTTGCCTACATGTCACAAAGTTTTCTTCATGGTTTTCTTTTTATAGGAGAAAAAACTCAACTTCTTTAAATCATGTGAATTTTTTTGTTTTTTGTTTTGCCATTAGCAAGTTGTCCATTATAATGGACATCCAAGATGTCCAACCTGAGCCCTAAGGCTGCACATGAACCCTAAACCTACAAAGTCTGTGGCCAAATAGGAATTTAAAATGTGATAGGAGGGAAATGATTAAATGCATGCCCGGAGAATCATTTCCACGTAACCATCAAATCGAGTTTATGTTCCTTTCCTATCGACTATTGCAGAATGCATCTTGCATTGCATAAGCCAAGTGTAGCCCAAAGCATAGAAAAAACCCTGGTTACCTTAACTAGCTCATATTTTTATTCTTATTTCTTTGGTTTACTCTATGTCCTCTTTTGCATTTACCCTATTTTGCATTTTGAATATAACATATAAAACTCAGTACCAATTGTTTCCTAATGTAGTAGTTTTAATAGAACTGCATTTAATACTAATCTTTGGTGCTTACTTTCTCCTATTTTGGCCAATCAAAATCCATGATATTTCCCTGTTTTTCTAATTTTTTGAATGGACATTAAAGTAATTTTCCTCCATTATAAATCATCCGAAGGAAACTCATCAGTGAGACCAACATCATGACTTTAATTAAACATATCCTGCAGAGATTTTGGAAATGCCCCAAGGATTCTTGTTTGTGATGGCAAGAAGAAAAAGAAAGCAAGATTTTGGAAACACCAGCCTCCCCCCACAAGAGTTTCAGCTGAGGTTTCTCAAAATAAAGTATCTTGGTTCCATCTCTTATCACATCTTGGTGTGCAGGAAGAGCAACAAAGATGAGCAGCAGCTATTCTTTGCTTGCAGTGTTCCCAGGATGGTTCGAGGGCACGGGATGAAACAAAGTATAACCTGCAACATTTTATTCACTCATTTGATAACACTTGATTTATTCANTTCTCCTTAGTTCTAGGTTGCTTCTGTGCTTGGTTAGTTTCCATCCATTGTTTCTTGTCCTGTCTTTTGGTGCTTTGGAGAATAGGTGGACCCCCTCTTCTTTGGGGCAGCCCCTCAAATACTAGAAGACTGGTATCATGTCAGCACTGGAGACTTGCAGCTCAGATCAGTCTCACAATTACAATTGTAAAGACTGATTCAAGAAAACGTCCAGGGACTAAGTGGCCAAGAAGTGACCAATTATGGTTTTAAAAAAATCATCCTGAAAACGTTGTCCTTTCATAAGGGTCTGGCTGCTTAGAACTGCCCACCAATGTGACAAAAAAAAAAATTTCAAGTTTTCTCCCTCCCTTTCTTTGATCTCTATTCTTCCAGAAGAATATGCAAAGCTTGGCCTGAATGCCCATATTTCCACAATGAGAGCATCAGCTAGTATGTAGTCTTGTTGGCGTTTCATTTTTCAGAGGGTCAGCATTTTGGGAAGAATTGTTGGAGGAGAGATGATGCCACAAAATTAGCATAATTCAAAATAATGCAGAATTCTCTCTCTTGCTCCCCTCTGTCTTTCTGTAGGAGAAAAATCTTCAGGGCTGAGAGCCATGGCAAGTCATGAACTAGGAGAGGGTGGACAACTATGCCCCCTTTACAACCTGTGGACTTCAATTCCCAGAATTCCTGAGCCAAGAATCAAGAGTGAACATCTGAGAGCCCAGCCAGCCAACTCTTGACCTTGACCGGAATGTTGGTTCATAAAACTCAGGAGTAGGTGCTCAGGATGTTACTAGACTTTCCATCTCAGGTTAAATCGTAGATTGGGAAACTCCTTCTAAAGTATGCAGCCAACAGGATGGGTGTCTGCTGCATTTTCTCACATAGTTTGTGTGTGGTGCTGACAGGAAATATGTCCCTTGGAGACGTTAATGAAAACATCCATGCTGGGTTTAGTGCTAGGGCAGCGGAATTACCTACAATTGCTGTTCTAATCTTCATTCTTTGTAGGCAATCCTCAAATTATGACTATAATGGAGGTTGCCCATTATGGTTGTAAGTTGTGACAGATGTTAAGAAGGTCAACCAAATGACCGATCTGAATTTATCACCTTTCTTGTGATGGTCATAAAGTGAACCAATTGTTCTCCATTGATTGATTTTGCTGGAAATTGGAACTAAATACTAATTTCTGGCAAAAGAAATTGTAAAATATGGTCATGTGACCGCAGGACACAGCAAATGGCCGTAAATGAACAGTAGTGGCACAATGGTTAGAATGCAGTATTGAAGGCTAATTCTGCCTACCACTGCCAGGAGTTCAATCCTGACTGGCTGTGGCTTAGTTTAATTGTCTTTGATTGCACTGTTTCGCATCGGTTGTACTTCTATGGTTTCCTGTACAGTTATCAGGGCCCTTTGCCTGAAGTGGTTTATGCATTTCATAAATAAATAACAATTATTTGGTTAAAAGATTGTCCCTGACCCCAAGTCAGCTCCACAGGTGAGGCTGGACTCAACTTAGGCTCCTCTGCTGCTAGTCCAGCACCCCACATGGGAATTGTAATGGGTGGGATGTCCACAGCAGTTCCCACTCATCAAATGCTCCAGATCAGGAATGAATAAAACAGGCTGTTGACAGCAGATTGGCTGCAACACAGACTTCATTGCTCTTTTAAGGGAAAGAGACTTTTCTTCTAGAAAAGGACCCCCTGAAATAAATGTGGTTTAGGATCCAATCTGGGTCAATCACCGGGATCAGAGGTTTAGTCTTCTGAGTTTTCAGACTCGTGCTGGAGCCCATCCTCAGGGAACCTCTCTCTCACCAGACCAGAATGTCTGCTTTGGGCTATTCTATGAGCCAAGGATTTGAAAGCGCAAGGAAACAAGAGCCAACAACTTAATAATCAGCCATCAACACTCCACTCAACAAGGAAAAAGCCACACACAACCGGGCACCACATAAATACTATGCCTAGAATAGCTCAGAGCACATGTATTCTGCTAGAGAGAAGCTCCTTGAGGATGGGCTTCAGCACGAGTCTGAAAACTCAGAAGACTAAACCTGTGAAAGACCCAGATTGGATCCTGCAGCATCATCCTGGGACATGCGTATTTGCCTTCATTCGTGGTTTAGTTTGGTTAATTTCCAGTAGCACTCTGAAATCCTTTTATGACATTAAGTACAAGTACTTTTTCTACTTAAAATCCAAGTAAACAAAAACAATTTTACCTAGGGAAAATATTTCCCAAAGCAGCACACCGAAGGACCAGACATCACTCTGAGTTGTGTAGATTTTGTCAAAAATTGCTTCTGGAGCCATCCATTTCAGGGGCAGCCTGGCCTGGGAAAGGAAAGAAGTACAAAGTTGCTGTGTGTAGATGCAAGACAGATGGTTGGGCTAGTGTCCATTGTGGTGTGTTACAGTGCAAACTCAACTCCTTCCGTACTTGCTTGTGACATTGTGATACAAGTAAAAAAAAAGATGGCACTTGTGTTGCAATGCTGGGATGTACATTGTGCCATTTTAGATGGTATCCTCATGGTTAGGAAAGAAGACCTAGTTGTGTTACCAATTTTAATCAGATATTAAATACATTGATCAAAGCACATGAATCCTATTCAATATCACAGGAGTGGGGGAGATGGGGGAGCAGGGATGAATAGGTTGTGTGATTTATGCTGTCAAAGGAGATCAGATATCAGGGCCCAGGAATCAAGAACGACACATAGAGTTATTTCTGAGTTGTTTCCCTTATGGTTCTCCACCTATGGACAGAATCTTGCTAGACTAAAGCAACTATCTGCATAACTACAGATATACTCTGAAGCTGCAAAAGAGGAACCATTTCAACCCACTTCCTGTTGATCAAATTTTCCAAGTTCCTCTGCCTCTTTGCTCCATGGAAATCAGCCCATCCCTCCTGGGAACTCAGACCACGTTCCACCACATAAAGGGTGCAACTGGGAAAAGCATCTTACGGTACCCAGCTCCATACTTACATCTCCTTTCCGCACATAATCGGGATCTTTGTATATGTCTCTGGCCAATCCAAAATCACAAATCTTCACCACATTGTTTTGAGAAAGAAGAATGTTCCTGGCTGCCAAATCTCTATGAATGCACTGGAATGAAAAAAGGAACACAAGGAAATCAGGCAAAAATGACGTTCCTCTATTACCGATGAGAGTCTCTGTGTGGATGGAGCTCTGGCAATCCTGAAGAGGGAGTCGCTGACTATTCAACGGGAACCCTGGTCATTTTTCATGGGTGCCACAGATAAAATGGCATCTGCTGGGATCTCACACTTGTGCACATCATCTTGACCTTTTAGCCTCTACCTCCCTGGCTGTCCCTGTTTGTTTCTGCAGTTTAAAGTTCTCCAATGTCTTAGACATCTTAGAGAACTTAAGGGGGACCATCAGGAAAAAATTGACTATGGATTTGTGGAATATCATGTGCTGTTTGTATGAAACATTCCAGGTTTAATCCTTGTGGAACACTTGAGTCTTAATGAATTGGCTGGATACTGTGGAACACGTTGGTTAGGATCTGGCCTACCTATATGTGGGTGTTATTTTTTGTGTACTTTTTAGCATTTGCTTGATTTCTGAACCACTAAGAAGCACTAAAATCTTTCCAAGCAACCGATAGGGCTCTTTTGCTGGTTCCATATAAAACAGGATTGCATTTTTCTAATTAAATGATTTTCACAACTTCTGAATCTCATTCCATTACATCCAGCTGATGGCTATACAAATACGTTTTCCCAACCTTTATTAGCTCTTGTCTGAATCTAAAAAATGGAGCTCCACCAGTTCTACGGCAGCCTTATTGAAATGTTGGATGGCATTAAAAAAAGATTACCCACGTTGATAAAGCACTAGAAATAACAAGAGGAAAATCAGGTCCATGCCCAAAATGTAATATCCCAATAAACGAATGGGTAATGAGTGAGATAAACACCCAACCCATATTAGTTTAGACTGGCACAGTGTTTCTCAACTTGCCATCTTTCAAGATGCATAGACTTCAATGTCCCAGATTTCCTAGTCTGCATTCCTGTTGCTTGGAATTCTGAGAGTTGAGATCCATACATCTGGAATTTTGTGATGTTCAGGAAACACTTGTTTAACTTGTTATGTGAACCCAGCCATACTTTTTGACACCTCTTGCAACAAGACTTACTTTTCTTGAGGCCAGGAACTCCATTCCTTTAGCTACCTGGAAGCTGTAGCAAATCAGGTCCTCCAAAGTCAGAGGTCGCTTATAAAGATCTTCAGCGTCTAGGAGAAAGCAAGGGATGATCTCAGCCAGAGGTGCAAAGGAATATTTTTGCAGTGAAGACTCACCTACATCAGATGGCCAGAGTTCTGTGTTGAGGTTCCTTCCAATCCTATGACTGTATGTGTCCACAATACAGTAGCAAGACCGAAAGCTACAAAATCAGATGGCCCATCTTTGCTCAGAACATTGCTAAGAGGAAGTAGAGGTTTTAATTCCCCCAAAACTCCTCACATATTTGCAGATGGAGTAATCCTGGTGTAGACCAGAAGGGGACAGAACTCCAAAACTGGAAATCCAAAGAGACCAGAAAGTGGGCAAACTTTCTGGAAATGGGAAAGAATGCAGAGAAGAGCAACAAATATGATTAGGGGGCTGGAGGCTAAAACACATGAACAACAGTTACAAGAATTGGATCTGGATAATCTAATGAAAAGAAAGACTAGGAGTGACATAATAGCAATCTTCCACTATTTGAGGGGCTCCTAGAAATACGAGGGGGTCAAACTATTTTCCAAAGCACCAGAAGGCAAGACAAGGAACAATGGATGTAAGCTAATCAAGGAGAGAATCAATCTAGAACTAAGGAGAAGATTCTTAACAGTGAGGACAATTAATCGGTGAAACAGCTTGCCTCCAGAAGTTGTGGGTGCCCCATCCCTGGAGCTTTTAAGAAGAGACGACACAACTATTGGAGTGAAATGGCATAGGATCTCCTGCTCCAGCAGGGATTTGGACTTCCAATATCCCTTCCAACTCTATTATTTTATGTTTAATGAGCTGGTAGATGTTCACTGACCTTCTTCCTCTGAATCAGAATCTGTGTAACTCTTGTCTTCAATGAATCCGGAGCTAGCAGAGCTACCGGTGCTGGCCACACTTTCAAGACGCCTCTTAATTAGCTCTGTTAAGTCACTGATAGAGTCCGTCAATCCTTTCTCTGAGCAGTCTGAATTTCCTGGTGGCTGGGGAAGAAAAAGACCTCTTCAAGAAGCCAGTTATTACTCTTTGGCCAGATTCAAACAACATGCTAAACAGGAGACTTGGATTTACAAAAGAGAGTGGCTGTTTTTGCCTAACATGCTACCTCCATTTAAGTGGATTATAGTTTGCTTATTGCTCATAGCGTTACATTACCCCGTCTTCAAACTACACTATCCATTTTAGTTGATAGGAATGTTTTTGTTTGTTAGCTACAACTTAATTAGGCATGAGTGCAAAAAGATTAATTTTCCATTTTGAGTAAAAGTCTTCCTAGTGTCTAAGAAATGGCCTATATGGGTTAGCTTTGGCCCCTGGGACACCACTGTTCTACGAGGCATTGCTTGCCAGTCTGCTTCCGGGTGCAATTCAAGGTGTTAGCGACCACCTTCAAAGCCCTTCCTGGCTTGGGTCCAGGCTACTTGATTAACCTGCCCCACCTGTGCTGGCAGAGGAGGCATGCTCTGGGACCCATCAGCCCGATTATTCCAGCTGGCGGATTCCAGGAGAAGGGCCTTCGCTCCCTTTGTGGGGTCCTAGGTGCTCTCTGAGTTTGCTTGTTTTCTTGCAGACATTTCATTTCCCTGACTGGATAACATCATCAGTGCTAGCAACAAGTCCTATTTGCTGTCTGTTTACATTCTGGTTTCTTGCCTGTGTGTGTGGGGGGGGGGCGATCATAGAGATTATTTGGTTGGGCTGTTTACTGATGGCTCTCTGGCAGTTTCTTGTTTGGGGTGTTGCTTACTTGATTGTAAGTCTGACTTTGACCTTGGAATTAATCGATGTTAATTTGAGTGCTGATTACTGGTGGAGAAATGCTGGAGTCTCTTTGTTCTCTTTTGGGCTGGCTGATTGTCTCTTTTGCATAGTCTATAGATGTTGTTAANAGCATTCCACACACACCCCACCAAGATTTATAGAAAGACAGCAGCTCCAACCATGCTTTAAGACCAAAACCCAGTCCTGACTATCTCAATGTTGACTCAACCTTCCAGCCTTCCAAGATAGGTAAAATATGGACCCAGATTATTGGGGGCAAGTTGCTGACATTTGTAAACAACTATGGAGTGGTATATATGTCTAAGTACTATTGCTATAAGAAAGGAGGAGGAGTGCTTTGGATATGTTAATTGCCTTGAGTTATTTGTAAAAAATAATAAAGGCAGGATAGAAATAAAAATAAGTAAAAAATAATATGAAAGTATGGGGTTTTGTCTCAAGTTACAGAACCAAGAAATCATCAAACACTCACCTCCAGGCTTGGTACAAGCCCCCAGTAGGTTGACCACATTTAGATGATGTCCAATATGGATCAGGATCTTCAGTTCTGACATCAGAGCCTTGCACTCATTAGACGTTGCACACTCTGCTTGAGAAGGAAGACATAAGCATCTTTACACCACAGGATATCAGCAACAGGAAGAGTCAAATCCTGTTTATGTTTGAAAGGGAAGCAAATACAGGCATGGGAAAAAACAAAGTACACCCTGATCTCTTCTAGGGTCTCTGTATATTATTTCTCATCAGATAAGACACAATTTCCTGCCCTGATCTTCTCAAAGGTTCTTATCTGCAAGGACAAGTTGAGCTGTTTTGGAAAACCATTTCTGCTCCCAATTTCCTGCTAGGATATCACAGTAGAATGTTGACCATTTGTGAACAATGAAAGTTCTAAAAGCTAAAATCTTTTTGTCCTCTAGAGGTCTACATACCATTGGAAATAATCTGGATGGATGGAGATACCCAAAACATTTAGACAAAGTAGAGACTTGGTTTTAGAGGCTGTCTTGAAGATCAGAATGATATCCAGGACAGCCTAGATCACTCCAGGAGATCAGAATGATCAACCATTCACAAGGTGGATTAAGATTCAATCTTGGCCAAAAAGGACACCAACTTCATTCATTGCTTGGATTTTATTCATTATTGCTAATGCAGTCCCATAATGGTTTACACTACAGTTTTGCTTCTCTTCATTTACTCTTGAATTAAATTTCCTTCATTGCATTCCATTGACATAATTAATTTTCTTCCTTCTCCATTCAAGTTTAGTTCAGTACTACCATCCAGAAGAACTTGTGGGTTCCATACAAGACTTTGAAAAGCTAAATGCAGACTCAAGAACTGAAGTCGGGTATGTCCACTAGCAAGATATGGTCATAACAGTGAAACTTAATTAAGCAAAGGAATTTATGTAGGGTTTACTCCTATACGTGATAATAAAATTGAGTTGCTAACTGATTGAATATGATAATGGAAAGATAATTAAATAAAGNAATAGGTGCGAACTGGTAGGAACCCACCTCTGATACCGCAGGATTGTAAACAATTGCTTAGAATTATTTTGATTTCTATGCAATATGTTGTTTGGGAAAGTGAATAAAATGTTGCAGGTTATACTTTGTTTCATCCCATGCCCTCGAACTATCCTGGGAACACTGCAAGCAAGGAATAGCTGACAGGCAAATATTTTCTGCAGATTGCGGCAGTTTTTGCTTACACGTGTAACCTCAGTTCCAAGGACCATTCAGATGATTCACTGTAAAAACCCTACACCAGTACTGTCACAGAGAAGAGGGGAGTGACGTATTCTCCAAAGTACCTGAGGTTACAATGGATGCAAACTAAATAAAGGAGAGATCCAACCTAGAACTAAGGAGAAATTTCCTGACAGTGAGAACAATGAATCAGTGGAAGGGCTTGCCACCAGAGGTTGTAGGTGCTCCATCACTGGAGGTCTTTAAGAAGAGACTGGAGAGCTGTTTGTGTGGAATGTTATAGTGTCTCCTGCTTGAGCAGTGGGTTGGGCTAGAAGATCTCTAAAGTCCCTTCCAGTCCTATGATTCTATGTTCTCTACCCTACCTTTCTTCTCTTCTAGAGTTACAAGTTTTGAATCAATTATAGCTATGCATACAATATACTTGTATTCTATGACTCCTTTTCTTGATCGAGAGTAATTAGTCCCACTCCTGAAAAAAACACTGTTAGAAAAGCAAGTCAGCCATCTAATGTGGGACAATTCTCCTGCTTACTTCCCCCACCACAATGCCACTGCCTGTCACAGTTGTCTTAATGCTATCGTTTTCAACAGGAAAATCATATTGGGAAGAAAAAGAATATTATTATTACACACCTCTGTTCTTGTCTAACTATGGATCCCAGTTCAGTCTGTTTGTGAAAGTTTCTATGTATTTAAAGACATTGAGATTAAAAGAATCTGTGGTATAGAATACAATTGTTCTGTGCCTCTTTCTCTGCAGCAGTTCTTACTCAGCTGGGTCTTGGTTGCATTGTGAGATATATCCATTCAGGTACAATGGGCCTCATAAATATCTTATGAATGCTTTATAAACAGCGGGGGCTGCATTTTTATGGTGTTGTGTTCTGCTTGAGCTTCTCTGACAGAAAGGTTGGTATGTGTGTGTTCATGTGTGTGCAGCGGGAAAAATAGACTTGCCTCAAAATACTTGCAGTTACTTAGTTCTACTAAATCTTTCAACTTCAGCTTCTCTGAGGGGATCCAGAATGAATTATTTTAATCCTAGATACAGTTTTGCTTTCCAGTACAGAAAATGCAGAAGCCAATCTGTTTTGCCAGAACTGGGCAAAATCTTGTATGAATCCAGATAAACTGTATATCAAGGTATGTATATTCACAGAGGATTTTGTGAATTTGTGATATATATATATATATATCACACACACACACATATACACACACATATTATTTATTTATTTATTTATTTATTTATTTATTTATTTATTTATTTATTTATTTATTTATTTA